ACACCCTTCATCCCTGTTATCAAAGTGTTATCCCACCCATGAAATTCGTTGAACATTGGTTCCAAGGACAGACGCTGATTAAACAATTCCTCTCTTGACCTCAACAGATCCCCTCGTGAAACGGAGTCTATCGAGTTGCTTCCCTCAGAAAATGGCTCTCTCGTATCTCTGTCAGGATACTTCACTCTGAATCTATGGGGCAGATAGCCAGCTAGGTATTTGGATCCCTCTCGAGATATAACACTAGAAGTCGAGAGTTATTTGGAGTAGTTTCTCGCCAGGGAAGCAAAAATCATCTAAAGCTTGTTCTGCATCCTCACACGTTCGATTAGGTATCAGAAGAGATATGCTGCGATAGATATTTGAGTCTTAAGTCCGTCCATGCCCCTCCGGCCTCTCTCGGGCTTTGCATCTGGAAGTGACTGGTCCCCTCCTCTCTGTCCACCATCATGGACTTTTTGAGAGATGTCAGGAAAGATTTGTTCCCTCCGATACAGCTCCACTTAGTCTCGTTCGATGCTGGAATTCAACCGCGGCCGGATTTTCGCGAGCACGACTGATCTTACACTTTAATCCAAAGAGCCCAAAAGTTGTGATGGTGGCTGTCACCCCAACCTGTGAGGCCGACGAGGCTGTCATTTTAGGCCATAGACTAGGCCATCCAACGCTCTTAGCGCCAGATCCATAGGGCTATGCCAGTCTGAGCCTTTGGCTGTGGCTCATCCTATTATTTCCATAGGCTTCATACTTAGCTGTGTCGATCAAAGGGTGCTATTAATTGAATGCGTGTCACGTTTTCACCGACCGACTGCAATTTGTCCATTTGAAAACATTCTTTGTTGAAGTATTTTTTCTGTATGTATTATTTTTCCTGTTAGGTCAGGCGTGGCGTTTCGCGCCATCGCTTCCATGCAATAGTTTTCTGTTTGCGTTTCAAGGTCGATTTATTTGAGCTCTCATGATTGATGAAGTCAAAATAATAACGTCAGTTCTTTGTTTCATGTGTCTTGCAACCGGGCCGCTCCTCCCATCAAAATGGTGGTGATTTTCGCGAGGTGAGGTTGAACACGAAGAAAAAATGGTTGGAGGTCCTACAGGACGGCGATGAGGTAGTCGCTGCAGATAAAAAACGATTAGTGCTGGCGCGGAAACAGCGTTTGCCACTGCATCTGCGGTGCGAAGTGCCTAAATCTCACGAAATCCTCCACGATCGGCATTACCGATCTTACTCACTACTTGTCGTGCGTCGACATGCATTACTCTCCCTCTGGCGACTGGCGTTCTCCGTCGCTTGCGACTCGTTGAACTACGTTCTTTGCCAGCCGGGAATTGAACCCGGACCTCCTGCTTAGCCGGTCAGGTGTGCTACCATTGCATCATGGAATTCGACGGCCTCTCCATGTCATCTCAATAATTACTGTCGTTTGCCGCAGCGAGCACTGTCAGGCTGTACTTTTTGCTGTAGGGAGGGGGCATTCGTTTCGCATTGCTCCCACAGCGGAAAAGTGCTCCTGCCGCAACTCATACTTTGCCCCAAGGCTCTGAAATCGTTGCTCATTGGTGCTAATGTGGATTTATTCGTTAATACTGTGCCGCACATGCGCTAACTTCCTTCTGTGCTAAAGTCGAACAAGTTCTTGGAAATGGCCCGTACTGTTTCAGAATCAGTGGTATCTGCACCATGAGCTAATGTTAATAGCACATGAGCCAATCGGTGATGCAAGAGTATTGAATGTGCTGGGACAACGAAATCAGCAAAGTCGTCTTGAGTCTCGTGAAAACCTGCTAAACCGAGGCGTTCACAATGGCGATTGCGGCAATGAGCTCAAATATCACGATGGGATTTAGAAACAAATTCTCCCTTCGTACTACATATGTATAAATCGAATGAAGCTGTTCAGTTCCGAACGGGTAATGCGATGAACAGGGGATGTCAAGGAGACGTCTTGCTCACAATAGACGATTCAAATTTCCGCCCAATAGACGGCCAGCGTAGCGGCCGCAGGCTGCTAATTTATTCTATTTTGGAAAAGAAGGGCTCCAAGACGTCTTGGTTCAGCCAGCATGTCATCAAGAACTTGTCATCGTGCTTCCTTTTCATTTACGCGAAAAGTTATTACAGGGTTTTCTCGGTGCCATTGACTTTAAAATGAGCCCTTTAAAATTGACTATTAAAAAAAAAAGACTCTAAAATTCCCAGTTCGCTCAGATCTCAGATGAATTTAGTGACTTTTTGGACTGCAGCAACTTATTTCTCAAAGCGAATACCAAAACGACATCTGAGGGGCTTCAAAGAATCCATACCTTTCCAAGAATTCCTCACATCAATCTCATCATCAATCATGTTTTTCCTGCTTGCAGCATCCTTACATGCAGCGGTTTTCAAACCCCAGAAATTCTAAGCCAGACGCTACGCTGTGCAGCATCGACTCACATTTTCATCTTCTCCAACGATCTGATACATGGACTTTTTCATGAGCAATTGGGGTTTCTCCAAGATCAAATTGTGGAAAAAATCACACGGATTGAATTCAAATATGATTTTTTGTTTCATGTTTCACGTGCTGACAAGTCCGACATTCAGCACGGCCACGCATTTGTCGAATTTGGATTTTATATCCATGTTTGACTTGGTATGGCCGACATTGATTTCAATTTTGCTGCTGAACTTCTGGATTGTTGACAATGTTGCAACTCTTGACCATTCCGATACCATCCATCAAAATTCCAGAAATTAATGAATAAAATCCTGTTTATTCCCTTACAAAAAATTTGTACCATAGATGAAAATGGAACTGTGTTAACATAGGTTAACCTATGTTAGAGTTTTTCCCAATTGCTAACGTCCGTTTCTCGAAACTATATTTCCGTTTTCAAATCTATATGAACAAATCCCAAAACTTTGCAAACTTTTCACAAAACTTAACATCCCATTTCAATCCTAACGTACGAAAAGCGAAACGCGAATTTTATATCTTTACGTACCTTTTTCGAAAACGAACGTACGGAAAAGGATAAGAAGACCGATTCGACGAGTGCGGACGATGGATGCATGACTGACGACGGCAATCTCCATCCTCCAAAATTCCTTCCAGCCAATCACAGAGGTTTTCTCATCGTCCATAGCTGTCAGAGCTGAACGCTCCTTCTCAAACGTTGAAATAGTTTCTTACGTCGATACAGCAATGTATTGCATAGATGGCAGACAATGATGCTGACTGCTATTCAGAAAATCCAAAATACCTGATCCTGAGTATTTACTTACGATTAATTTCTTTAACAATATAATCAGCTAAAAAGGGTCGAAAAGAGAGAAAAGAGGTCATTTATAGTTATTTTTGTTTATCATAAGTTACAAAATTGTTATGACCTTGGGACCCATTTTTATTCGTAGATATGAGTGTTCATTGGGAAAATCTCATGTTATGATCTCCAATTATTTCCAACTTATGCTCGCTCTATGAGGGGTTTTCTACCGGATACAACGCCCTGCACCCTTTTGAATGACGGCACAAGTCAAGTGACTCCTCAAAATAACAGTCTGACCTTATTAGGGTGTGGGAAGATAGTAATGGGCTCGACCGGCAGAAACCGTGATCTGTTGTGGAGCAGAAATGTGCAATTTCCCGTTCAACGAAGGCGAGAGGGGAAGAATGGGAGGGGGGTTGAGGAGTTTGTGCGCTTTCAAGCAGCACCTCGTCCATATATCTCGCGCGAAATAATCTCAATGGGCGGTTTGATGATTTTTGCAGGAATAAATCTATGCTGGTTTGATTCTGGTTGATCACTGCTGAAACACCCGCTGTATACACATCCACTCAACAACCGAGCCTAAACTGTATAATTTGTCGGTAGAAGTTGAGGTCAAGAGTCCTCATTGTATGATCTACAAAACTAAAAAACAAATTGTCATACGGCATACGTGCCAAATGTCCTTCACCGAAACATATTTTCCAATAGAACACATTGCTGGTGTCCTTTAGAACGAATTTAAAGCACTCCCATCAAAGCTTAACGTCCTTGCCTCAAAAAGTAACGTCCGCTCCATTGCTTGACATTGGGGAGGTTCTGGCCAATTTGACCACGTACGGCTGACAGGGCGGACATCGATATGCGAGACTCGTCGCCTTCCCACGAACAGTAATGGATCGTCCTCAGAGTTTTGACTCCAGGTACGTTAGAAATTGATCGTAGGACGTTCTGTTTTGACTTTTGGGGAGCGGAAATCGAATCTCGACGACAGAACGTACGGTTTTGGCATGGCTACGTTAAGTTTTGAAAGTCATCATTCATCGAGAAATCGCAGATACGTATATGAAGGCATTGTGCATTACCCTAGCCTGGCCTATAGTCGCGAGGAGTCCACATAGTTTTCTCGATCCCGTACGTCCAACGTGGAGTCTCAAAGGTGAAATTGAAGCGGATCGTGAATATACGTGAAATATTGAGCTCGAAAAAAAAGAGAAACCCATGTCCGGACTCCAGAAGTGTCTTCGTGACCCTACGAAAAAAAAGTTTATTCAATGTGAAACCTAAGAATTGTTACCTATCATTATAAATTGCGCCTATAGGGGCTTACAATTCGTTATAGTGGATTTCTTTTCATATCCATACTTGAGGCAGTGACATACAAGTGTATATTATATCTTCATGGTTCAGTCACACATGATGGTCTTTTTATTTTCTTTCTGTATGATACGTAAGCGAGAAATCTATGACAAGAATTAATACTGATGGTCCCGAACTATGCAGTTTATCGCATGACGTTAATTTGAGTTTTAAAAATAAGAGAAACCGGCTGAAGGGACTCTTTCTGCTTCTATTTCGGCCTCCCAAAAAGATATTGTAACTGGAATGCATAGTGAGATAGGGGAATCTTCAGAAAAATCATTTTCACGGTCTCTTCTTGACTGTCTATAGACATTCCTTACCACGTACGTTAGAATATTGAAGAGAATATTTGATTTTGATAAAGGGACGCACTTTTGACTGTCAGACGCATGAATGTGAGAAAAGAGTGCAGAGTTTTGCGGATCGTACGTTAAGTTTTGAAAAATGTCCATCAAGATAGGGCTCTAGCAATTGGGAAAAACTGTAATAAAGGTGTTAACCTAGGTTAGCAGAGGCACCAACCTAGGTTAACCTATGTTGTTTCATTTTAACATATGTTAACAGATAGAACCCATGTTAATGTTAGTTAACTCATGTTAACTCATGGTACATGTTTGCAAGGGTTTTCTTCATCACAATTCTCTTCGAAAATAAAATATCATGATGACAATCATGATTTCGTTATGTGCAGGAAGTTACAGAGCAAAGCTACGGAACAGAAATAGTTTGGAAATTAATAGACTCCAAAAATCTGAAATCAAAATTCCATAAATGGAATGCTTGCAGATTCAAATGCATGATTAGTTACTTAAGTTTGGGCCAAGCTCTCCCCACATGATTGAGATGCTTGCGTATCTGGTGGTGTATTCCCTTACGAAAAGATCCTATAGGATCCGATGAGATTTTTTAAACAAAAATCTTATAGGATTCTTTTAGGAATCCCATAGAGTTCCTTTAGGATCCTATAGGATTCTTATAGGATCCTATAGGAATCCTGTAAGAATCCTATGAGAATCCTACAGTAATTCTATGAGTTTTTATGTTTCAAAAATCTTATAGGATCCTAGAGGATCTTTTCGGAAGGGTTACATGGCAGGGTGGTACATGTCTCTCCTCTCTAGTTGCATTACTACCAGCCGATGTTCACGCTGATTGGGGGAGGGATCAAAAGGCTGGAGCAGGCAACGAGAGAGATGGGTTCGGTCTTGCCTAAGGGGGTGCATTGGATCAGAGACTCGGCGGTCAAGTTCGATCCGGACAACAAGCGGGTTCGCACCAGCTCCGGTGATGAGATAAACTATGAATACATGGTGATGGCGATGGGTGTTACACTCGATTTTCACCAGGTGAGTGTCACCCGGTCCCACGACTTCGCGAGTCACTTGGTACTACAACTTCTGAATTCTCAAAATTCTCATAATTTCTCCCTCAGGTACCAGGGCTTGAGGAAGCCCTGGAGAAGGACCCCATGGTTTGCTCAAACTATTCCCCAAAATACGTTTCCAAGACGAGTAAAGCCATCCATGCCTTCAAGGAAGGAAATGCCATCTTCACGTTCCCGAACACCCCAGTGAGGAAGCCCTGGAGAAGGACCCCATGGTTTGCTCAAACTATTCCCCAAAATACGTTTCCAAGACGAGTAACGCCATCCATGCCTTCAAGGAAGGAAATGCCATCTTCACGTTCCCGAACACCCCAGTGAAGTGTGCAGGCGCGCCGCAGAAGATCGCCTACCTGACCGACTGGCACTTCCGACGCGTAAACTGAAGTCTTCGTGCTGAAGATATGCATATGTCTAGGTGCCAGATAGATCTAGATTCTTAATAGGACTCCATTTCCCACAGGAAGGGAAGAGAGAGCGAGCAGAGGTGATCTACAACACGTCACTCCCTGTGATATTTGGCGTGAAAAAGTACGCAGCATCTCTGATGGACGTGGTCAAGGAAAGAGGAATCCAGTTGAACGTGAGGCGTAATCTCGTCGAGGTTCGGTCAGACAAGAAGGAGGCCATCTTCGAGAATCTCGACAATCCCAGTGAGAAGATAACCTACAAGGTGAGTCGGATGTGGTCCACGAGTTCATCGAGGCACTGATCTTATGTAATGGCCAGGTGGCATGCTTCCCATACCCAACTGCGGATCATGACAATGTCTGGTATAGCCCACTTGGCCTTGTCCCAGTTCGCTCTTTTTTAAATTGCATATATAACTAGCGAGTTATTTTGTCCTTCGGGCAAACAAACTCACTTTGGTCGCGCCTTCGGTGCTCCATTATTAGGATAGTCATTAAATCATTCATTCATTTTCGAAGTTACAAGAACTTACCGAAATTTTTATCTAAGTTATTACCCCGGTGATATCTTGTGCGCCTAACGTCAAATATGTGTGTGTCCTTTTTTTGTCTAAGCGGGAAGTGAATCTTTAAATACTTCCTTTCCACAATCCGGCCTGAGGAGACATATTTAAAATGCAGGATTTTTTCTTTACCCAACAATGCATCAGGTACTTCTGCGCTCAGCTTCAACTTTTCCATTATTTCTGTTTCGTTTGGCCATGAAATATTTCCGAATATGTGCTTCATGGAAAAGAATTTCCCGAGAGATTTTGCTTAAAAATTAATACATTTACTGAAATCAGTTCTTGTAGAAGTAAATGCCCTCTAAGTATGAACCTTGTACGTTTGCTCTTTTCCCCGGTAAAACATTTCTTTGAAAAATTCGTCCCGCCCAAAAGCTATGCCCTGAGGGAATTCACCACAAAATAGGAATTTTCCTGAACTGAACATCATGTCAGTTATGCGTTTGCCAGGTTTTACCTTTTTATTTGTGCCAAATTCTCTTGGACAAAAAAAATATTAGAAAACGTCACCCCCCAAATTTTATACCTAGGATATGTATTGGGAAATCGACGTTTTTCCTCAACTCAGTCTCTCAGTGGTCACATTCATGCCAAGTTTTAACTTTCCATATCTCTCCGTTTGACTGGAGCAAAAAAAAAATTCATTTGAAAACATTTCCCCCATAATATGTGCCTCCAGGGCATTTACCTCCAAAGTTTGAATTTTTCTGAACTTAGCACCCCAAAAGGTAGTTATGTACTAAGTTTCACCTTCCTTTTTCGCCCGATTCGCTTGGACGAAAAAAAAATTAAATGCAAACGTAAACTCCCAAAAATATGCACCCAGGCCACGCATCTGAAATTTGGAATTTCCCTGAATTTAGTGTCTCAATAGCTACGTCTATGCCAAGTTTCACCTTTCCTTGTCTCTCTGTTTGGCTGAGGTAAATATATATCTTTGAAAACATCTTCCCCCAAATTGTGTACCCCCAGGGCATGTACTTCCAAAGTCTGACTTTTTCTGAAGTCTACATCCCAATAGCTAATGGTGTACCAAGTTTCAGATTTCTAACTTCTCTAGAGTTCTAAAGTTCTCGTCACTCATTCACTCACTCAGTCACAATATGCCAGGGCTGGGTAACGAAACAGAAATGGAATTCGATGCTGTAACGAGACAGAACCAGAAACAGAAGCAACAAAAAAAAAAACAGAAACGAAATCTTGATGATGATATTAACGATATTCGATTGAGCGTTTCTTCCTGAAGTTTTCTTCCCCCTCCAACCAACCGAACGTATAACTCCAGACCGGGGAATGAGTTCGAATTTAATTGGTGTACCAACTGAGTCACTGACTAGCCATTTCACTGGTCATTATTTCATGGGTTACTATTAACGCGCCTTCGCAAACTCATGCTACTACTATTAACGGAAGTTTAAATTGCTTCTCAAAATACAGTAGGAGGTATCACCTTGACTGCTATATTCGCTTTGGCATCTGCGGACTGGTGGAATGGAAAACAAATTTTCTGCAAACAGTAAATGCAAGGAAAGCGCCATGACGAAGAAGAGGAAATTGAAACTTGGTTAAAGCAGGTCAACTTGGTCAACTTCCATGGTTAGAATGGCATTCGGAGATGTTGATTGCTACACTCTCAAAGTCTTCGTGGACTTAATATGGGTAACGGGAGAATAAAAACCAGACATAGTATCAATGCCGTGTCAACATCGACAGTTGAGATATAGTTGAAGTAGACATACCGACGTTGAATCAAGGGCACTACCCAGGAGAAAATGTTCTGTAGAATTTCTATACAGAGTGCCTATAGAGTCTTTGTAGAAGAATCTACCATATTTCGATAGAATTTCTATCGAATAATTCTATAGAGATTCTATAGAATCTCAAATATAGGGAGCTGAAAGAGATCACTCAGAGACTTTTGATATTCTTAGGATTTCCTTAGGGCATTACTTCACAGATGAGGCATTTCAGCTCAAGTGATCAAGGGGTCGTCGGGCTTCAGATTCCGATTCGCTTGAAAAAATTATTGGATGCTGGCAATCAAGACTTATGAAAAAATCCAAAATTTTGGCTCTCTAGTTCTAACGGATCTCGTGATATGCGGCCCCAAACTTCGCCCCCTAGAGGAAAAGTGGCCAATAGGGTTAAAGCGCTATCTTTGGTCCTATTCGAGCTAGAGACGCGTTTTTGGACTCTAAGTAAAGCTGAGACCACGTAGAATCGCATTATTAAGTGCATTTTCTGCACCCTTTATTAGAAATTGGGTTATGCAATTTCTAAAATGGTAAATATTGCAGAATTTTGCACGCAAATTATTAGCACTAAGATGCATTGTAAACACCACGATCTTTTGAAAAATTGTAGACTAAAACAATGGCAATTTAAGAACTAAATTTCAACTTCCTATGTTTTTTGAAACAGCTTAAAATTAAATTCGAAAAGTCCAAAATTGCCTATTTTCACCAACTTTGGCGGTTCGTACTTCCTGTTTTAAACATGATATAAACTTGTAACATAGTGTCAAATGAAAGCTCTCTCCAAGCGCTTTCCAGTGACATATTACTCGTGTTGGTACTTTTACTTTTCATGCCTGTGTAATTTTTTTGAAAATTTGAATTCTGCAAATTCCCGAACGAAAGTTATGACTGAAATTATAACGATGGGAATCTTGATTAAGAAACCAGACCAATGCATATCTCACATTTGACTCATAAACATAGTTATTTCTATTATATGCTTGCATTAAGCAATAAAATATCAATATTCAACACATTAATGGCTTTCCAAACGCAACAATTTAGTCGTTATCTTTAACGCCTGCATGCATGTACATTTCAGAAGATTCAGACTTCAGAATGGAGTTGTGTTCCTTCAAAGTGTTATATGGCTGTAACCAAGTGTAATGTCGCTGTTGCATATGTCAAATGACAGTGTTCATGCCGACGATGAATCTAAATATAAGGTCTTTCAACTTTCAGGTTTCAACAAAAAATTCGCTCAATCAAAATCGGTTAGTGCTAGTTTGGCGCGCAGCGAGTTAACATGGAAAACGAACAACGTATTAGCATCAAATTTTGGGTGAAATTAAGGAAGTCGCCTTCTGAGACTCTTGCAATGTTACAACAGGCTTATGCGAACGACAGCAGTCTTTAAATGGCATACAAGATTTTGTGAGGGCCGTGAAGATGTGAATGACAGAAGTGGCATGCCATCAACTAGCATCACAGAAGAAAAAATCAATCAAGTCCAAAATTTGGCTCGCCAAGACAGGAGATTGTTAGCTGATGCACTTGCTAAACTGGTGAACATTTCACATGGAAGTTGTCACTCCATTCTTTCAGAAAATTTGAAGATGAAAAGATTGTGTGCAAAGTTTGTGCCAAGACTGCTCACAAGTGATCAAAAGGCTCAGCGTAGAGATGCCGCACAGGACCTTTTTGACCACCTCTCAGACAGACCAAAACTTATTGGGCTCCATTATCACCGGGAATGAGACTTGGGTGTTTGCTTACGACCCAGAAACCGAAAGGCAGAGCTCACTTTGAAGGGGATTCACATTAGAAGCTCACAGGTTAGTCCAGTGCAATGCAGCAATTCTGCGAACTTTTGGACTGCACCTCGTATATATGTTAATGAACCTAAGATTAAAGAAAGATATTGGCTAAATAGGCAATTACCTGGCTGGGCAGTAAACTGCCCTCAACCAAGGTGCGCAGATAGAGTAAAAGAAGTTACTTATTGGTGCTGAATCCAGAGGCACGGAACAGAGACTAAAGTCCGAATTATTGCAAACGGCTTGCAGGTAAGGGGCAAAGCTTAAGGAAGTTAGAAAGAGAAAGGACAGCGAAGGATCCTATCCCAGAAAATTCAGGCAGCCTGTGTTTCAGGGGGTTGAGGCCACCGGTCTGACTAACAAACCCTATCCAGAATTGTTTCTGCCCTCAGGTGCTACGGCCGCAGATCTAAATAGGGAAGGCAGTACCTAATGTCTCAGAAACAATCCCAGCTTAAGTCCATCTGCCTGACAATTTTCTGGGATAGGATCCTTTGCTGTCCTTTCTCGTTCTAACTTCCCTAAGCTTTGCTCCATACCTGCAAGCTGTTTGAAATAATTCGGACTTAGGTCTCTCTGTTCCGTGTGTCTGGGTTCGAAAGCTGGGGATTTTCTGATGCCCTTGGGTGGTTTCGGCCAGATTCAGCACCAATAAGTAACTTCTTTGACTCTCTCTCTCTCTCTATGTACAGTATACACAGGGTGCCCAGAAAAAAAGTACACCATTATATATTTTTAAGTTTCTCAGCAACCAGGAGAACCAAACTGCTTAAAAATTTGAATAAAAAGGAGGTCAAATAGTCAGAAAACATGCCTTAAAATATTAGGTGGATCAGTTTGACATGAACCCTGATTCATATAATTTAATGAAATGATCTCGAAAATAGACTAAACGGTTTATTTTATTACCTCAGTTCGAACAAATACAACAATCATTGCAAATAAGAAACAATCAGTGCATTAGTTTTTCTCTGGAGAAGATGAGCAAAGTCATTGACAACTTTCCGAAGAGACTCAAGCAGTGCATTGAAAACTGGAGGTGGCCATTTTGAAAACAAGTGATTCTATTGTGATCTTGCAATCGTAAACTTTGTTTTTGTTCTCACTGGTAGTAAAAATTTGGTCATTTAAAAAAAATTATTTCATTTCTTATTTTGTCTGGTATTTTTGCCGCACCCTGTATTTTCCGATATTTTTGATTGAATAAGGGTATTTAGGATTTAGCGAAAAATACTAGAGAGTGTATTAAATTTACAGGGCAAAAGTTGTACTTACGTGCAAATTTGACGATGGCTACAAAATGACACAAATTATGGATTATATGATACCAATCCACCTGATTTTTGAGGAGTGCTTCTTGACTTATTGAACTCTTTTTATTCAATTTTGTATGCAATATAGTCTCCTGGTTGCTGAGAAATTAATATATACATAATAGTGTACTTTTTTCCGAGCACCCTGTATTTGTATATATAATTTTTTTTTCACCTTGGTTCAATAATTACTGAACATATAGTGACATGTTAAACTTTTGGATCAGCAGTGTATCTTTCCCATTCATTACCTATACTGTCACAGAAGTAATCCCTTGATGGTTGCTGACATTTTTGTGGTTCTTTTTCATCTTTTTTCCCATTAAAACTCCTTGGCAGCGAGTTTAAGTCAGATAATGAATTCTTATTACTTCTTGAAAATTACTTCAGTTACAAGGTGACACAACTGTTGAGTTTTTATATTATTATGATATTTATTGCAGTTGGGATATTGTATCATTGCATCATAGTAATTTGCAATAAAAATAAAATAGTGAGCATATAGGATGAACATTCTCTAGGCTCAAAGAATTGCAGTCCAGGGGGCCGAGGCTCATGGAAGAGGAATCCCAGGTCTTCCCCCATAGCCATCTGAAAATAATAATTGCATTATTCAAATAATAATTTGAATCAGCTTTACACTAGAAAGCAGAGGAAAACCAAGGGCAAGATGGAGGTGAGAATGCGGTCTTGCTCCTGACATACTATTGCATGGTGTCTCGATGAAGGTATAGATCATTGCATCAGGATTTACTTCTCCCCATTTTTTCACTCTGCAATCTTCATGCATTTACAAAGCAAGTGATATGGAAATCCCCAGACATTATCAGAGTCACAACAAGCAGAAATGCATTATTTTAAGTATTAAACTAGGAAAATGGAAACAAGGGATTGAAAATGCACCTTAAAGCATATTTACAAGGATATAAATAGATATAAACATTTGATTAACATAAAAATTTAAATAAACATTTTTGATTTGGTTACTGCTACAAGTTGTGCAGCACTAAATCCATACCAAGCTTCATGATGAAATACTGCCAGTTACAGATGGAGATTGAAAGGTGTACTGGTTGAGATCATGTCCCTTGATATGAAATGGCATTATCAAAAGGCTCTAGGTATCTGCAAAGAACCTGCACTACACCATTGATATGAAGTGCAAGCTAGTTTAGCTAGTAATCTGCAAATGACAGTTTGTCATTTCAAAGCATGAACTGCAGAACTGGGGATCTTACAGGAGTGAAGCAGTTAGCAAACAAATGAATATGAAGTTGAATTCAAATATGCAACAGTTGTGTCCAGTACAAAGACTGAGGCTGATGATCTACCTCACCATTTTAATGGTATAGCAACACTCATCACAAGCAGGGCCATAAATAAAGGGGGGGGGGGGGGGGGGGAAAAAAAAAAAAAAAAAAAAGCTGCAGATAGGATACAGTGGCACTGATTTACCTGAGATGTGTTCCAGCCCTTACAGCACCAGGTTGACGAAAACGACGAAGACCAGAAAGAAGACGAAGACATGGACAGTGGTGGATCCGGGGGGGGGGGGGCAAAGCAAACAAATAACAAATGCTGCAGAGAAAAATGAAAAGAAATGTGTTGGACAGTGAAAAGATAGTCATAAAAAGAAGGAATGCAGAAGTTTTGACTTTTGATAAGCATCAACCAGTCATCAATGCATATTCCAACTTGGAGATAAGTCTCAAGATTCATTTTATCCTTCCCTCAACAATTTCTTCATATGAGAGAAGCTTCAGCAAACTTGAGTTTCTCAAGACATACATTTAATCCATGATGGACCAAGAAAAACTCTCCAGACTTGGAACACTCTCAATTGAAAATCAAGTAGTGAAAGAATTGGATTTTGACCATATCATTGACATCTTAGCATCGCAATAAACAAGGAAAGTAGTACTGTAGTTATTTAGGAAGACATGAGCATGTGAATGAATACTCATGGGGATACTCATGAGTTCATGACTATTCTGTATACTTTGCCATTCAGAGTCACATTAATTAATGGGGTGCAGGCTTAGATGTGTGCATGTAGATATGAGTTCAAGGGATAGGAGAACTGACAAGACACAATAAGGAAAAGAGAGAAAAGGGGGGGGGGGGCATTCAGGACACCTTGCCCACAGGCACCACATGAAGATATTACAGCCCTGATCACAAGTCAGTGAAAAAGACCTGGATAGTAACTAAAGGTTTTACAATTTGTACCTCTAAAATATGTTTTTTACATCAATGAGGCACCATACTGGAACAGTATCTTACTGAAACATATTTAAGGAATAGCATGCTTTCATGCAAATGAAGCTGGTCGGATGGTCAAGTGACATTTTCTAATAAAGACATACTTTTGGATTTCATAAAGATAATTTTGTTGCTCACATGGACTCACGGAGGACTCATGGAGGGCTCATTTCTCTGCAGCTTGATTCCTCAGCCTTTCTTTCACATATTCTGGCTGAAACAAGAAGAGAATCCAACTTAGATGCCCTTTCCTAGTCCTGGTCAACGAAGTAGAAATACATCTGTGATAACATATGCATTGTCTGGAGTAGATGCAAGCAATGTTACCCTCTTCCCTGTCATAATATTGTTCTTCCTCAGAAGATTCAAAGTCCTACAACACAATATTTAACATTTTTCCATCATATTAAAAAAAAAAAAAAATTCCTCTGCACTTTCCCAGTCCTCTCTATTCTTAATTCTTGGGTCTGTAAGATGGATAAGTCTCAATCAAAACAATGAAGTGCATCAAACATAGCCAGGTTGTATAGCCTGGTCAAGGAAACAAGTCTTTCAGCTTGGAATATTGAATCCATGTGGAGTTAGGATTGATAGGTTTGATTGATTCAGATGGGAGGAAAGTATTTGAATTACAGATGAAACTTACAGTGACAAACCAGGGTGAGGAATCCCTGAAAATCATGCGAGAGAGCCATGACATGGGTGCCTTGGGGCTAATAATGTGAAGGTGAAGATGGGCAACTGAATGAAATGGTGGCCAGTGAAACCCTTGCCTGCAAAAACAGAAAAACCATTTTAAATTCTGAGCAACATCATTCTCCATAATGTGTAATCTTGCAGGGTATATTTCACATTTAGGATGTAAGTTCTCTGGCAATTGAAATATATCTGCATTTACTTCTATTTAAGCAAAATTGACAACTTATAATTATGAAGCATTTTGGAGAGAATTTTATTACAGTGATTTGGATTGAGTAAACACAGTACTTCTATTGTCGCAATGTATCTTAAATGGAAAGTGCCAGTTAATTTTTTTTTTTATATATCTCCAGATATTGTGAGCTCCATGTTTCTCTGATCCTGACTTATCAGATAAACAATGAAGATTAAGTTTTTTAAGTTTGGAAAATTCCAATAAATCTGTCAAGTTTGAAAATATTCAACATTTTTGAAAAATCATCCCTTCAAATACATTAATTATCTGAAATTGTAATGTCAACAACTTCCTCAAACATACTGTGTGCTCTTCCTCCACATGGCTTTCACCTTAGCTGCTCCAATTAATAAATGTCTGAGTGCAAACAGCAGGCAGTCTCAACAATAAAACTGATTTTTGATAAATACTTATCATGTGCTTTGATTATTTTGTTTTCAACCCTTTCAATGCTATGATTGAGTTAACCCGAGCATGGAATTGTGTCTCTTTTTGTGCTTCTTCCCTGAGATTTTTCAAGACAATAACATAATAAGGCAAATGGGGGAACATATATCTTTTTTTAAGTAGGACACACAATAGTGCACCAAAAGCAAAAGCTCAGCACAGGGATTGTAAAGAAAAAGAATGTAACAGTAAATGGGTTAAAATAGAAGAGTGCCAGGTTTATTTGCAAAAACAATTCCTACTAACACCATCCAAACCACAGGTTTTCTTGCATGTAATATCTCAGACAGAAAGAGTAATTTAGGCAAAAAAGAAAACTTTAAACTTAACTATTTGCAACCAGAACACAAACCAACTGTAATAACACAAAATAAAATACATAAAAAATTTATCTCTTCATGGAGCCTGCATGCCAAGTGTGCTCTGTTGTGTTGGAGAACATCATGATATGCGACAAAGTGACATACATGGTGCGGAGGAGAGCAAAGATTGCTTGTTCACTGTTATTTTCGATACTTAAATTTGATCAATTTACTGCATTTGAAGAAACTAGCTTCTTTTATCCTTTATTGGCCATGCAGTACACATGTTGTACCAATGAAAGTCCCTCTAGTTTTGGCATGACCTATTTTTTTCTTTGGAACTAACTTTTGTCTAAGCTTTTATATGAGATTCTGGGAACCTGATAAAGGGTCTCTTGTGAATGTATGCAGGTCATAAGACTTCAACACTGGCTATCAAAACAGTTTCTGCTTGCAGCTGAATGCAGCATCACATGGGGGACTCACATTTCCTGAATTTTGAGAAACTCAAACATTTATATCTCTTTATTGCTATTTTCATCATTATATTTCATATTTATATGTGTGAGTTGATTTGACTGCCATGTTCTGGAAAGACAAACAATATTTATCAGAACAAAGCCAGTGTTAGATGCAAACATAACCAATAAAGGCATAAAAAGGCACAATAGACATTTGACTCAATTCCATTTGTGCTTTGGCTGCAAAAATAATAGAAATTTGTGAAAAGCTACACAATTAATGATGGAAATATTAATTTTTTAGCAATTCTGAACACCTTGGGGATTAAAGAGGGACATTTAAATTCCAGCTGTCAAAAGGCCCAAGTATTTACGTACTCCATACAATAAAGGTTAAATTTGAGAGAAATTTTCATTACTCATCAGAAATGCCATGCAGAAAAATGAGGCAAGAATGATAATGAAGGGAGATACAAAAAAAATTGAACTGGCACTTTTTTTTTGGCAATAAGCAAGTCTCACCTAGGCCCTGGTCTAGTCTTAGTGATGATGAGTTGAGGCCCACAAGGATAGCACAGCTTCACTAAGAGTACTTATGCATCACATGTCATTTATTTCATTAGGGAGGAAGATTTAGTTTTGCTGTGTGCCAGTAGTCCTAATGAAAATAATATTCGTAAGACTGCATGCCAACACTATTCAAAATAGTTATGAACCTGTGAATGGTCAAATAAATCAGATAGGATTGAATATTCTAGTGATGTATTTTGTATTGGAGGCACACAAGGTCCAAAACAAAAGATCTGAGCAAGACCAATAAATCTAATGAACCAAGCCAAAAATCCTATGCAGACTTAGAGATAATCCAAATTCAACCAGATATGGTTGTACATATAGTAAAAGCAACATAGTCCTCCAGATACCTTACAGACATTCCAGAGCTGAACAAATATGACTGAATAGCTAAGGGAATAACACAATGTCAAACCAATATATTGTACAACACAGAAGCATGTACCAACTTGATGTCAGAAGGATCTCCACTGTGCATTTCTAACACTTGTTTTCCAATCCTCTCCAAGTCTTCCACTATGAATGAATAAGATATTCAATTTTGTGAAAATCCTTGGGTGATTGAATATCATAAGATCACCTTTTACAATTGGAGGATTCAGGGAAATGAAAAGGTTATTCTTGGAATATGGATGCTGAAACCATCAAGTGTGGAGTTTTCTGAGCAAGGTGGAATCCACAATAAGTGAATATTAATGAACTGCAACAGTAGTTGTGGATCTACAGTATTTTATGCAAAAAGAAAACTGAACATGAACTCCTTTAATTTATCTTAATATGCATATATATAAAGCAGAACATGATACATTGCCACTTAAAAAAATAGACATTGTGTATCAGGGACATGGTTCATGATGGATATATCTGTCATACCCACTTGAAGGGTTAAGGTATAGTTAAAAAACACAAACATGGAATGACTAACCAATATTAATCTGATGTGGTTGGAGATCTTTTGCAGAAGGGATATGCTCCTTGGTGACAATCAGATAATGGTGCATGGAAGCAGGTCGAATATCAGGGAAGGCAATGTATGAATCATCCTGAAAATAAATAGTTATTTAATGAAACTATAGAAGGAAAGAATCACATGGATTGACAACTCAATTCAATTATCAATACACACAGAAGAATACCTCCATACTAGAGGGTCCAAAATAAACTTCCCACCTTTGCAAGCCTGCTGACAGAATATCATATGGGATATCAATAGGGGAAGCTTTTTTTTTCGACCTAATGTAAAGCAAGCAAATATGTTTGTCTGTGTGTGCCTCCTTAAATGGTATGGGGGCCAAGTCTGACTCACTGTAACTACCATCAATACTATACCATGAAGGGTGTTCAGCTAGTATAGAAAGTAATAAACTTTTTTTTAGACCACCCACTGCACTTTATTTCAAGTGCAAGGAGGTGTAAAGAAAGAGTCTGCAGCAGAGCCTTTTGAACATTTAATTCGACTATAAGTAGCTTGGAAATGCAAGTCTGCAGTTAACAGGGCTGGTAGGAAAAAAATGGAGGGATCTTTCTTATAACTTTCTGAATCTGGTTGGTGTTGCAAGTGTGCAGGCCTATTCTGCTGTCGAATATCTTGCACCATTACTGACTTGAAAGGCTAAGGTTCTGCCCCAAGATACAGCCTTTAGTTTCATGTATGGCCTGAGAGGTCAAAATCATATCTACACTGTTTCTGGATTGAATTCATCCTCCCCCTCCCCAGGTAGTGGAGAATAGAGAAAACAGTACTTCCAGAAGATGCATTTCATCAGATGATCCAAAAAACCACCCTTGTGAAAGGCACCACAATTTGCAATAGATGGAGGAGCTCATAGAGGAGGTACAAATACAACCCAAAAACAGTGTAGAGACTCTGGCACCTTTTTCAAGGTATACCTGTATTTGCCAAGTCATTCTTTCCCCACAGAAAGGGAATTTTTGACTGATTGGTTAAATATGGAAAAAGGACTCTGTTTATTGAGTTCTGGGTCATATGAAAAAGAGACAAGTTGGGCTGCAAAAGCAGGGTGACTTGCATGAAGGTATCAAATCATTGATGGGTATGCTACAAGGGATGTAGTCATTGTCAAAATTATAAACTATTAAAAACCATACATTACATCTCTAATATATTGCTCACCTGGTAAATAACTTCTGTGTCTGTATTTCCTTGGATGATATCACAGAAAACACATTTTTTGGTCATTTTTTCTCATTCATGCCTAACAGGTTCCTAAAGTGCACATTTCACACCCCAAAGGCTGCAGGCCTCCTTAATATACCATTTCAGCAAGCTTCATAACTACTCAAGGTTGTATGCACTAGGGTTCAAGTGTAAGGAATGATGAGAATGTTTAAATCAAGATCCATAGGCAATATGATGACAGTCCCATTCCTCTGGGCTCAAGATTTCGATGAAAGTAATAAAATTCTAGACAACAAAGGGCACTCAATCAATAAAGTTGTGATCAAAACTATCATTTTTATGGTGTTGTCTTACTTGTAGCTATCTAGATCGTATAATGAAAAGTGTTCAAATGACATGACGATCACGTAAAAATCGAATTTCACATACTGCTGGAGAAAAGGGCCAAACAGCTGTTGGCAGAAGCTTTGGGTGACCAGGCATTAATCAAACAGTTCATTACTGGTTTTGAACAATTACAGAATGAATGAATCTCATGGAAGATAAGGAGACACATTTACTGCCCCGTGAACACAGGTTTCACGACAGACTGATCACAAGAGTATTTGACAGAGCAAGAAGTGCCATTCTAAGTTCCTTCTCTCCAAATTACATCATAGTAAATTGAATGCAATCATATAAAAAGGCAGTGGGCCTGATGCTGGAATCTCGTCTAGCGAAGATGCATCGTCTTCTATTGGGAAGCATACATAGATTTTGTCTGATCATAGGAGGTAAGAAGTTGGGGGAAGTTTAGAGCTCAAAGGTAAACTGGTCCAATTTGGAGCACTAGGTAACTCTGATCTTGTTTGCCACTTAAAGGGAATTTTCATCAGGCATGTATGACCACAGAAAAATAACTTAATATTCATTGTTTACATTGATGTGATGTAAATAGAGTTGGGAATGTTTCCTCATGAAACTTGGGTAAACTGGAAATTAAAAAACAAATGATAGAGAAAGAGCTTCCTGTGTTAATGTTAGAGATAATAAAAAATGGCAACAACTGGCTTTTCCCGATCAGTTCTTAAAATGAGTGACAGGTCTTTTATATATGAGCATATTGGGGAATCTCTGTCCTTAAATATCACACCAAAGAAATTATAAGGAGCCAGGCTAGGGTATGTGAATGAGAAAAATATATTAATTCATATGCTCATTGCCAACAGAGGCTCTCTCAAGCCCCCCCCCCCTACCCCCTCCAAATTATCCATAGGTTAAATACATGCATAAGAGAAGGCAGATGCCAAGCTCATGCCAGTCTCTAATAACAGGATAGGTTTATGTTTCTTCAATGAATTGTTACATGCAACCCAATTCAGCACCAGCAAGTTTAGGCATGAATCTGCCCAATGATGAGGAGTAGTGGAGGCTCTCTCTCTCAAAGAGAACCAATCACAAATCAGAATTAACAGCATAGGAGGCTAGTACAGGTACTACAGCATCCACCTACTTCATGTTGTTCCTGTACTTTATAAGATACATATATCAAACTTGGACACTGGTCAGCAGTGATAGTGTTGCATGACTGCTGGAGGGGAAGGGAGGAATCAGAACTGGCTAGCATTTTTGCTTAGTTCTTCCACCAACCTTTCCCTCTTCTTGCATCCACTGAGAACTCTCCACTCTCCTTATATAAAGATTTCCAGAATTTTAACAACTCGATAACTGCCAAGTCTGCTCATAGATATAAAAAGCTTTAACGTGCTTGCCTTTAAGGGTCCTGTAACGACCTCTTCCTGCACGGTAAGTATTTCATGGTGAAATATTGTAGCTTATGAGTGAACTCCATGCCTAGCGGTGAGGGAACTCTTGTGGTGGAGCAGTGTTGCGTAGTCGTTCGTTCCAAGTCGTGTCTCACAGTTTACGAGCCAAACCCACATTTATAGCACATTAATTTTCTTCACTAATTCATAAGTTATAACTTAAATATAAATTAAATGCATACATTAGTTCAAGGTTTTGTAGTCATGTGGAAGCTCGTTATGTGACGCATGCGTTTCTTGCTTTTTCCCCCTTTCTAGGGAAACTGCACCGACGGCGGAGTTCTTGGGATTTGTCTCCGTGTTTCTTGGTGAAAGTGCACCACCGCGGCCTGCACTCAGTCTCTACGTAAATCCTTCCACTTGCCCTCAACTTCTGCCTCAGAGAAATGTGAGAGCATCATTTATATCAGAAGTCTATTTCAATGCAGGGCTTTTGTTTATGGGGTGACGTCGTGCATGGCGAGTGGGATCATCGATCCCACTCTCGTGGTCCCGTCTGCTCTTTTCCCAATCCTCTCTTTCTCGCTCTCTCTCTCTCCTCTCTTTACTCTCTCTCCCCTCCTCAAAGACTTTCAACCATCGTTTTGTCGACTTAGTATTGTGTGATCAGAATAAGCCTTAGGCTTTTTGTCTTAGTATTGCATCTGGTTCTTGAATGCCGGGCGAGTAATATCACCAGATCTCATTCCAGTTGCACTGATTGGCCTAGCTATGCATCTTTACAGTACAATACTGTCCTCTGTGAAGGTGGTTTTCATGCACGGGAGGAAACGTGTTCTTCCATGCAGAACCACGCAACATGGCATGTTTCCTTGACGCCTTAGTAACAGGAGGGGAAAAGTAGAAGGCCGAATCGAGCTATTGGCGTAGCTGAAGTATGAGTCAGAGCAGACACCCGACCCAGGAACAATGCACTCAGACAGGTACATTATTCGAGTCGGCGAGTTTTCCCAGTCACGCGCGAGAACGGAAACCAGTAACAACCATCTCCTCTCATGTGATGTCATAGCCCATCGCTTGAAGTAGAGAGTAGAGACTAGAGAGCCAGTCAAGCGGCCAGTTCTAGCTTCGCTGCCCTTCAGTGTCATCTGGTACTGTTCTTGTGAAACACGTTTCTTTCTTTCCTGTTCCTGTTTCCAGATAGAAAGTTTTCTCTGAAAGGATCAGTGTAGAAATATGGCAGATCCGCTTCTGCATTTTGAGTACGAGGGTGAAAACGCAGAGGAACAAGAACTTCATTCCTCAGCCACGGACGATGGAAGTAATGCCAGCAACCGCAACTCCTTCGCGGATGATTTCGAGAAACTGGATTCCGAGATCTCTCATCCCATCACATCATTGCACTTGCAGGTGAGAATATGCCTTTTATGAGTTGATGCATTTTTTCACCCAGTACATTTGACCTTCATTCCCTTTTTTTGGGGTCCTTGAGAGCGCACATTCATTGGCATGAGTTTTTGGCAGTAATACGCTGCCTCGCTTTCCGAGAGGAAAGGTGAGATCGTGATTATCGTTCCTGTCCCAGACGTGGGCTGGAAGGATACTGCGTATCACGATTTCGAAGAATGTAGTTTTGCGCAATGAAGATAATAGTATTTTTTTTTTAAAGATAGCTGATTATCTACTATCACCTCTCCTAGGTCAAGAAATGGATTGCTAGCATTGAAAGAGCGACAAGAGATGGAAATGGGAGGGTTCCTATAAATAGGCGTGAATAAAATGTAGCGTCTTTTTTCACTTCGTGAGGTCGGGGACATGGGGAATGCGGATGTAGCTGAGTACGGTGATGAGGATATCCATTCCCCTAATCGTGATGGATATTCAAGACAACGAGAGGATTCGGAATTGGGCGAAGGCGAAAGCTCCCCACCGGATGACCTCATTGCACCTGAAAGCATCGGGCCCGAGAGACTCGTCCAAGAACCTCCCGTTTTTATCCTGCCTGGAGAGGAAGGTGCAGAAGGGGATGATAATGATTATATGACCGGGAGAGACTACGATGTGGAGGACGACCTCGTTCAGGTTGGTAAAGATATGGCTTCTTCTGTGGGAGTCAATGAACCTCATATTGACTATGGGAGAGCTCAAGAACCTGCATTATATGACCGTCATGAATACATGGGAGAAATAGAGGGCTCCCATTCATATCACGAAGAGGGTGTTGAGACTGGGATGGAAGATTCCTTTACGAGGACTTTCTCCCCAGAATCAAAAGGAACCTCTTTCCCCCAAAAAGAGGAACATCTTGACCTTGAACAGCATGACCTTTTCGATCCCAGTGAAATGCTTGGAAATGTTGAGAAGAATCATCCATTTGAAGCTGAGGAAGAGGATGCAGGATTCATTCCTCCAACTCCGACAGTACACGAAGTGGTCAAGCACGAAGAAGCTCCTCTGCAGTTCTCCCAGGGAAGAGAGGACGAGGTACAGGAGCCACTGTTGGATTTCAGTCACCAACTTGAGCCCGCAGGAGAGCAAGGAATGGAACCGATTAGCATGCAAGGGTTAGTGGATTCCCGGACGATTCAAGGGCTATTGGTGGCTGCTGAGGAAGAGACTTTCCTTCAACCCAAGATGTCTCAGCATATTGAAGAATCTCAGACGCACCTAGAGGACTTAGCTGGAGTTGGTGAGATGAAGCCGTCGAGACAAGAGGAGGAAGGAGGAGTTAGGACGATAGTGCCGGACTTGTCGCCTCCGTCAACGCCAGGGCCTACCCCGCCCCCTCGCGATTACACACCTGAACCCCGAAGTCGAAAAGCGATGTCATCCAAGCCCACCGTGTCCAGCCCTACTAGCTCCAAGGCTTCTCTCTCCTATAATCCTTGTGAGTACCTTCTCCTTGTTAATTCCCTCCTCAAAAATCTGCGGGTGGGTTGTAATTTTGATCCTTATGTTGCACCATGTTGCTGTCCTCCGTCGTGGGAAGCACTTGCTTTGCACTTTGTATTGCCTTAAGATAGGTCTGCATGATTATTTATCAAAAATTTGCTTCAAGTACGTTTGCAGAATGCTGATGGTTTCGAGGCTGTATTTATAACAAAGAACAGAGAATGAGATTTTATTGAATTCTGACTGAAAGGTAGAGGTGATGTGGTTGGTAAACGATGGGAAAATAGGGCGTTCCCATAGCGTTCTCGTTTCGCGTGGTTGGGTGTTGGAGGCGAGGTTGAATCATCCGGTGGGTGAGTGCTTATCATGTGATGTGGCCTTGACCGTGGACCATCCCCCCTCGGGGCTTCCAGACCAGACCAGACCAGACCGAACGGCCGTTGACGCGCAGAGTCGTTGCGCAAACACTCACCTCTCAGTCCGTCGTGCGTTGAGCCTCTCTCCCTCTGTAACAGTCAGCTCAGTTTTCTACGGACGAGTGCGTGCTCTCATATCAGCTCTTAGCAACCTAGTTTCGTCGTAATGTTTTACCATTCCTTTCTCTCAAGCACACCTACTCCTGTGAGCGCCTTCCTACTAGCAGTTTTTAAATATTAATATAACTTAGTAATAGGCCGTGGGCGGTCTTGAACCATAATCAACGTGATGGAAGTTCTTGGGGATCGAGTTTGGAGAGTAGTGTAGAGGTAGTGTGCGAAGTATATGATGTGTTAGTGACGGGAAGTGCAGGCATTGAAGGGGCCTCTTTTCACTGCATGCATTGCCTTCAAGTACATGTATTAGTATTCTTTGCAGTACATAGAGAAATGCTTCTCTCCCTTCATGATGTTTTCTTTTTCGGCCCCTTCCATCACAGTCGAGCGTCGGTAGGATATCTTCCGTGTTTCATTCCACCTTGGCTTCTTTACCGTTCTGCCAGTAAGTCTGAAAGTTAAAAACATTCAGCATTGTGCGCCAAGTAATAGTCATGTCATCGCACTCAAGTGATGTCAGTGTAAAGGAAGAGTTGAACAGTTCATTGCACCATGATCAGCATGATGTGCTTTCGGGAAGTAAATCGAAAGGAGGAAGCGATCCTTTATTGAAGCTTCTGCAAGATCTCGTCGATCCACGTGAGCATTAGTTTTTTTTTATTCACCGATTTATTCGCATGATCATATTACCCCATGTATTTTGTCTGCTTTCACATTCTTCTACATTCTCATACTTTATTTCCATTTCGATTGACACATGGGAGGCGAAATTTCAAGAAACAGGCCAACCGATTGCGGGGAAATTTCCCTCACTCGTGAATTTCCACTAGCACTATTAGTTTCTTGGTTTTTTCCAGTTAGACTGTTAGAGCATCTCGACGATTTGAGGAATAAATCTTGAGATTGAGAAATTCTCAGTGCTACTGCTAGAATGTTGCTTAGAGAACTTTCTCATATACCTTTCCTAGTCGATTTTGTTCCGTTTTGCCTTGGGAAGAAAAGGATCTTTGGCTCTTCCGTGAGAGCCAAAGAGAAGTTGGAGGCGGCAGACTTTAGAAGGGATCTTGGACATTGGATTGGACACATTTAATTCAAAATTCATGTATGTATGTCGAGCTTAGGCTTAAGGATAGCCTGTCTGCATACATTTCTGTGTGACTGCCATCGAAATCGCTCTCCAGGGACATGAGCTAGTCTTCCATGGTAATCTGTGGAGTTGATATATTCGGAACGTGTATAAATCTCCACTTGCTGACCCAGACCATGTATCAAATATTTGCAATCTTCCACTGAAGCCAGCCATGACATTTTACAGGCGATCCACAGTGACTTCACAATTGCATACTTGTCCTAGCGAGGATCCTGTTCATTAGAAGATATCAAACCTACTGTGTAAAAAAAAGATCAATGACATTTAACCAATGTGTCTGCTCTCACCTCAGCTGTTTTCACGAAACTTTCACTGTTCATAGATGGCTAAGTTTCCGATATGTATTCAAGCTTTCTTCCAAATTCATTTCTCTAAAGTGAGGCTATGATCTATTATTTTAAAAAAGATGTTAACTGAGGAAAATGGGGGACACGCCCAAGCGCTCTGTTTCGTATCATCCAGGTCGCATCCAACTTAGCTCTCATGGAAATTCAATTTTTAGGCTGGCCTTCACTTGCAGATTGAGTGGAATAAAGCATCTCAAAACTATCACAGGTGAATCAATAAGTATAAAAACAAGGAGTTCGCACAAAGTTATTTCTGATTTTACTAAGGGAAAGGGGCCGTATTCTATTAAAACCTTAAACTTAGTTTAAGCTAATTGCTCAGCCTCGACCATGCATTTGAGTGGGGCAAATACCAGCTAAGCAACTTGCTAAGAGGAAAATCGCACTTGAGAACGTTATAGAATATGGCCCTAGGTCCCTTCCCGAGACTTCCCCTTGGTGTTTGTCAGGGAACGAGGCACTCGAGAGGGATTGGAAGTCCCCCTGTCCATGTTCAATTTCAGACTTCTGATAATTGCTCATTGCCATATTTTGGCAATATCACTTTGATATTTCAAGAGTCTGCTATCAACATACACATTGCAAGGTTTCGTGAAAATAGCTCCAGTGAGGTCAGAGATGTGCAGGTTAAAAGTCGCTTATCTTTTTCTGCCATACTCTTGAGATGTTAGTCGTATCTGGAGGCATCATCCTGAAGACACGTCGGAACCCACTGGTCGCAGTAACTGGTGAATCAAATTTTGCAAATTTACTTGCACACTGAACATTCTCAAGAGTCATCACGGCCACGTAGCACGAGTCGTGTGAAGCCATATAAATTTTGCTGACATTAACTGCCAGCTACAGGCGAAGCCTGTAAGCTATAAAAATGTAGACCTTGCTGTGTGACAGGGAAACAATGATAACTGTAATAATAGACTCATGAACCCCAAAACATGAAATAAATATCCAAAAAAAGACTTAACAACAATTTTGAGCTTCCGCAAGAACCCTGCAATTTTGTTCGCTTGTTTCCGAGAAAACTCAAGAAGTAAAAAATGTGAAGTCAAACAAGGGTCAATTCCTTTTCCTTATCGTGTTTCACCTAGCATTCCCCCCTCCTTATTTCCAAAAAGAGTGTATTATTTGCAAATTTGAACTGCCCTTTAATTATATTTAATCTTGATCTGCTTGAATGCTTTTACCAGTCATCATGAGTATGTGCGTTACTAAAATGAATCATGTGAATTGCATTAGTGTGCTAATTTAGAACATTGTGTTTTCACTGGCTTTGGGTTTGCTGGTGATGTTTGATGCACTCACTCACTGTATCCAACTTATCCTTCCCCCGTTTCTAGGTGCATGGCTTCCATATTTCGCTATTCATGATCCTCGAGGTAAGACGTCTTCCTCGGCTTCCTCCATTTGTATAGTGCTGTCCAATCTTGGTTAAATGCATGTTCTTTGCGCCATCTTGGAATTGGAGAACCAACAAGGTTATTTCAGTTGGGGTCCAACAGATGTCAGGTCTTTGGACCTGCGCTCTCCCCACACAGTACTATCGATTAGAGGGAGGGCTTCTTTGGGATGAGAACGAGGTAGAATTCGAGTCAAGTGGGTGCAGGAAGGGACCTACACGGAAGGAAAGGGACAAGTGTGTATGTGAATGGGAACTTAGGTGTTGTCAATTGCATGGGTCGTACTCTGTTGTCCAGTACTGTATACTGTGGCTTCAACTCATGATCGATGCACTAACTTCTTGACGCTGACATGCAAAGCTCGTAACTGCTCTTAACCGACTCACTTCTCTGTCACCATGGCTTTCTTCTCTCTTGTGACACGTGAGTGTCTCCTTTTCTATGTGAATTTAGAGGTGTCTTTTAGGTGCGCTAACTAACGCGCACACTATGTTTTATATAATATTGACGTATTGCGCAGCTAAGATGGAATCTTGTCTGAGAAAGATGCGATTTAAAGCAATATCACCATGGGAGATCCTCTGATGACTGGAAATATCATTATTCTGTTCTGGGTTTTTTAAGTGAATAAAAAAAAAGTAATATTGTTTGGGGCTGCTTCCAGTGTTGCTGCGTTAGGAAGGGAATGGAAATGGAGGGAAGAGTGAAAGGGCTAAGTCGCATGCCGCCAATGTTTACATGCTCTCATTGGTGGGTTCCGTGGGTCACGTGACGACATCGATTCCCGTGGCTATCCCTATTCCATCGGCCTATCTCGATTCTGGATCCTTTTACCGAGGGGGGAAGGACCCTCATGGTCCCCCCCCCCCCTCTCCCCCCCCAGCTAATAAATGCTATTTGAGCTACATCTCTGCCTGGGTGGATATCATCGTGCAGAACAGGCCAGCTTTGTCGCTAGAAAATGTTTTATAATCACGATCCCCTGTTGCTATGCGTTCCCCCGCCATAAAAGGAAACCTGTCTCGTTTCATGCCGTACTTACAAGGAACTTTCAATAGAAAGGTATGGATCGTGTAGGTTTGCGGAGCATTGGCCCTGATTTGACATGCCTATAGTTTTCCTGAATATGTGCTGGACATGAGCGTTTGGAGTATGAGGTGTAGGCTAATATGTAGTGAGAGAGAAAGAGAGAGAGAGAGAGGGAAGAGCTTGGAGCAATGGACGAGGCCCAATGCAGTAGCAGTGGCAAGTGTGCCACGTCTAGATATGCCTGCTACCTTCATTCCAGTTTTGATCCCCGCTACGGTGCTAACCTAGTACAGCTCAGTGTACGTGCTCTCTCTCATCGGTGCTATTTCCGGACGGTGGTTTTAATCTTGTGATTTCGTCCGTCGTTTTTGGGGACGGGGAAATTTTCAGGAATGGGCCGGAAAAGTGGGCCACGGCAATCATCGAATAGTGAAGTGGTTGGAGCCAGCGAAAAACCCAATCGCGGTGCAGGTGAGAGGAGAAAGGGGAAAAAGTAAAAGGGCATGTCCGCAGCAGCACTGAATCTGGATTCCAGCCCAGTTGAAGTCTTGCCAGTAAAAGCGAAAAAATAATGCTGTCTGAAGCTCCAGTCAGAGGAACAGGAATAGGCTACCATGCGAATCTGATATCCCTCTTTGCAGGATATTCTCTCCCTTAAACATACCTGTAATCGGATCCGAGGTTGACCTCACAGATTCTAGCCAAAAAGGAAAGGAGGTCGCATAAGTTTTCATAGATCATCGATGCTGGGTTTAGTTGAGTCTTCTACGAGGGCTGGTTATTGTTTCTTTTATTTGCAGTGTTGAACCTCATCTATTGGAGGGACGTGAAGAAGAGTGGGGTGGTGTTTGGTGGAGGATTGGTGGTCTTGATATCTCTAGTCTACTTCTCATTGATCTCTGTCTTGAGCTATTCTTCGTTGGTGTGTCTGCTTGGAGCTGGTTGTTTCCGCATTTATAAGTGGGTTCTCGCCGCCTTGCACAAAACTCAAGCGGATTCGCCCTCTCATCCCTTCCAGTCCGTTTCTCCATCTCTCTTTTCATTCCCTCTTTTTCATTCAACTAAAGGGTTCCATCACATTTTTCTTTGCTCTCTATTTTGATAGGGAATGGCTAGAAGAAGACATCGAGGTATCGGAGGAAAAGGCGAAAGAGTTTTCCATCTTGGCAGCCCAGAGACTTAACAAATGGGCAGATCGACTCCGGAGACTATTCCTCATCGACAACATCTTTGAATCCATCAAATTTGCTCTCCTCCTCTGGGGACTTACCTACATCGGGGCTTGGTTTAATGGCCTCACTCTCATCATCCTTGGTGAGACGACTTTCAAAATTGAAGTTTCCCCGTGTCTTTCGTAATCTTGATATATTAACAATATCTTCGTTTTCCCCTTTCTCCTCTCTTCTAGGATATGCCGGGATTTTCACCATTCCCAAGGTCTACGAGGTGTATCAAGTGCAAATAGACCAGTACCTGAATCTGGTGCGAGACCATGTCTCGGCGGCTTACTCCAAGTGAGTGATTATACTGCCTAAATCGTTTGACGTTTCCTGTCTGTGGATATTGAGGTGTCATCCACCAGATCGATATAACTTCGATTCTTGAACCGATATAGTCGATGTAAGGGCGAATATGCAAATTTGAATTTTTTAAATTTATCATTTATTTAGAAGATTAGCTTTTTCCCAGAATGGAGAGCTATAGTTGAAGAATGCTTTTCCCCTCCGCTTGTGCTGAGCCACCAGAGTACTTGAGAGCTTTGATGCACAAAAGAACATTCTTCAAGTCTCATCGTGCTATTCAAAAAAGCAAATTATTATCTCTTGAAGAATTTCGAAATAGCGCATTCGTTCCTTTATGGGTTCATCGACATGATCACATTATCATGGATACTAGGGACAGTTCAATGCTATTGAATGGGGTTGTTGATGGTCTGCCATGGATGATCTCACTCATGATGCGCTGATGAGAGCGAACGAGAAGAATGAGATGGTTCTGATTTCTGTTCCAGGGTAAAGGGAATGCTTCCAGGGGGAGCTGGAAAGGAAGCTGAGAAGCCTAAGGCCCAGTGAGGAAGATCGTGCATTCTTTTTCGTTTCTCCCATCTTCTAGAGTGTCCTATCTTTGCATTCAGTCTTGGAACCGCGACTGCTTCGAATAATCGGCACTTCTAGAGAGTATGGGAAAATGTGTGATGTGAATCGCCCCCCGTGACTCTGCTATCTACACAGCCTCAAAATGAAAGCAGTGACTGTCTTCAGTTATCGCGTGTGCTCACCAGTTGTGATTGCGTTGTATGTTTGTCTGCGTCAGCAGTTTTTAGCCACAACTTCCCGTTCTCAGCATTTCTCCGTTATTAGTATGCGTCAGTGAAGTACATTTCACGAGTCTGGAGATGAAGGGAAGGAATATTTCTTTCTCTCTCGACTGGCTCTTGTTCATTTGTGCTATTTATGGGATGGATGATATTGGTCAGCTTGTGATTTGTAATTAAAGCTTTTTCCCCTCCAATCCAATGGACTTTGGTAGCTTGACCGCCAGAGGCATATGCAAACACACACACGGAGACATCTTCCATGACAGTTACTGGAATATGGTTAACACAAGCGATGGGAGATGGCATTTAAATAGCCTCTGGGAGTTTCTTCCTGATGTCACTTTAGTGAGTCCCTGGTTCTTGCTAATATATATACATTACCAGATCTTTTACCACGGGCAACTATGGAGAAGACACTGGAATTCAAGATTATTATCTAAAGAGCTTACCCAGCCCATGGAGACTCCAGAGGATGGAGGAAATATGGTTCGACAGGAGACATCACTCCAGATAAGAGTGGCTCAGATTTTACTTGGCAATGAAAAATATATTAGTCTTAGGCATGTGCCCCCGCACAGGGCACAAATTCACCAGGGGTGCCAAAACGTGACTGAATATACGAAGCAATAATGGATACTATCAGTTTTACTTCAGAATGTGAAAATGCCATCCGTTTCGGCGTCAATTTGGGCGCTAGAGATTGACCCTTCCCCGTTCGGGGGGGGGGGGGGGGGGGGGGGGTGGGGAGTCTCTTTGCACAGGGCGCCGAAATAGCTAGGGCCGGCCCTGGAGGAAAGTCTCAAGTATCTTTCATACTTCCAACAATCAGACAATTGCACCAACGGTGAGATGTTAGCTAGACATTTCTTAGACGTTTATAACGCCACACATCCCGTGGAATGTGCTGAAGCCTAAATCAGCCACCTTAGAACGTAAAAAAGGGTGAATCTCTGAAACGTTAATGGGAGGATACTCTCAGGACTGGGGACGGAAGTCGACCTATAGGAGTATGATGGTGTAATCGAGCGGGTAATGCGTTGAACCCTTCAACCCCAGGGCCGACACTCCTATAGTCTGGTCTTTCCGTTAGGATTTTGTTATCCATCTCGACTTATAGTGTTAAAAAAAAGAAGAAAAACCTCATTCTTTTTCTTTGAGGAAATGACCATCCTTTACCTCGGGGCTATTTGCTATGTGAGCTTTTGCAAGTGGGTTTTCACCTTTGTTGGAAGATGGTACATTTATTTTCTTTTACCTCTCTTTCATCTCTTCATACTGTAAAAAATCGCCGCAGATGGGACTGATCTCGCATGGACTGCAATCAATCTGACCTCGCCTCTGTCCGTCGTCACATACTAGGGTTGTGCTTGATAAAAAAAAAGTTTGGCAAGAAAAAAGCAAGATCTTATCAGATGAAAACCATGTCACAACCAAGTAAAATGAGAGACAGGGCCGTTTCTAGGCATGTTGGCGCTCCGGGCGATCGTCCGCCCCTAGAAACGGCACTGAAGGGAGATAAAAACCTAACAAAAAAATCAATATTCAAGCTTTTTTCGACCCTTGACTAGGCGTTAAGGGTAGAGGACATCTATCAAGACTTGGCAAGAAAAGAAATTCAAGATCTTGCCAAGCGTCTTGTTTGAAATTCAACCCTAATATTTACAAAGCCTTTCATTCTAGACATCAGTAGATATTCTTGGTACCTCTAACTGCAATGGAGTTTTGCTGTGATGTTGGAGTCGTATGGCATCCTTTCTCCATTGATACAGCATGGGACCCAAATATTTCAGCGTGTATCGCAGTAAATTCAGCAGCATCAAGGGGATCGTCTTGGCATTGTGTTAAAATTACTTTAATTTTTTTAGGTTTTTCTTCGTCCGGAAAAATCCGAATCGGACTTCTTTTTTATGAGGTTCTAATTCAATCCGAATTTCTATTCCTTTGAATTGACAATTTAGAATTTAATAAATTAATTTCTTGGCATTTAAAAATTCAAATTCATCAAGGTGAAAACCAGGACCAGTTTTTGGAATAAACCCATTCAAATTGAATATTTCTAATTTCGAACTGTTTCTTGATGGTTCGCGCGTCCACGTCGCGAGGATGGACAGCGCGAACAGTCTCCAGTGATGATTAGCTTTAAAAATCTCAAGTCTCCTGAAATCCGGGCATTGAAAGCAATGGGCACCGATGGGTGCTCGTGGCTGCGCAGTGTATGTCGAAAAGCGTTGGAATCGGCAGTACCTATGGGTTGGAAGACTGGTGTGTGATGGTTCCTCTCTTTAAGAAGGGGGACTCGAAGGAGTGTACCAATTGCCGTGGAATGACTTTCCTCGGCATCTGATAAGACCTCTGCCAAGGTGCTTGGAAAAAGAGCGGTGTGCAGTCGTTGGAGAAGGCATCCAAAAAGAGCAGTCCTTACTTCGCTAAGGACGTAGCACCACGGACCAGTTCTTCACTCGCCACTATATCTTCGAGACACATTAGGAGTACTAGTATATCAAAGAGGCTTAGTTGGTACGAAAGTAATGCCTGTCAATTTTTTTTTTATCCATCACCTTTTAATTAAAAGAATTATGAAATTGGCAAGGAAAATAGACGAAGCCCTATTGTTTACACGGCTATTTTTCCATGTAGTCCCCCTCGCGTTCCATACGCGTTTTTACAGCGCATAACGAGAGTGTGCATGCCATTACTGCATAAGTTCTTGTCACGGCTGCGAAGCCATTTGCGCACAGCGCCCTTTACTTCATTGTCATATTTAAAGTAATGTCCACTCAACCCACCCTTAATTGGGCTAAACAGATGGTAGTCTGACTTTGCACGATCCGGGCTGCAGGCTGGATGGGGCAGTAGACTCCATCCGAACGAAGCGATTGTGTCAGATGTGTGCAGGTTGTGTGCAGCCGGGCGTTGTCGTGTTGCAGCAGTACCTGTGACATATCCAGATTTGGACGAACTCTTTGGATGCGTTGTTTCAGTTTTTCCAACGTTTCGATGTATCGCTCGGAGTTTATTGGGGCTCCCTAGGACATGAAATCGACGAGGATGACTACCTTGCAGGTCCCAGAACACGGTGACCATAGCTTTCCGAGCGGAAGGTTGAACCTTGAACTCCCTCTTTCGGGGAGGGTTTTGATGGTGCCATTCCATGGATTGCCGCTTGGTTTCTGGGCTACAATGGTGCACCCACGTTTCAACAACAGCGATGATGGGCGAAAGAAATGCTTCGCATCCAGCCTCGAAACGCCCGAGTAGTTCAGCTCAGGTAGTCTTTCAATTTTGCTTGTGAGGGTCCGTCAGCTTTCGAGGCATCCACAGGGCACACACTTGAGAGTAGCCGAGGTTGTGGATAATTTCAATGATTGCTGGTTTCCCGATAAGCACAGTTTCTCACAACTCTTGTGTGGTGATGCGTCGATCGTTGCGAATCGGCTCATCCACTCTGCGTGTCTTCTCTGGTGTCACTGCCTTGGCAGAGCGATCTCTATGGCGCTTGATTTGAGATCGGTTTCTCCTCTCTTGACGCGGTTTGCCCATCGTCTCACGTTACTCACATCAAAGGTAGAGGTCCCATAAACATTCTCCAGCCACCTATGAATGTCTACAGGTCGTACTCTGCTGTCAGGAATTCAACAACAGCTTTGTACGCACATGAAGGACAGCAGACATTTTGGATAGGTGCAGTGATGCTGCTAACTGATACCTCTCCGCGAAACCGGCGCGGCAAGGACGGAAAATATGAGTCTTTACGCAGGAAAATTTTTCGCCGGCCTTCCATGCATGAGTACATTACTTTCGTACCAATCCTTGTACATGTGTTTTGTGGATCTCGAAAAGGCGTACGACAGTGTACTTCGAGGGAAGCTGTAGGAAATGCTGCAGGAGTACAGGATTACCGTTCAGCTACTGCGAGTTATACATTCCTTATACAGTGATTACAGGAACTGCGTTGGGGTGAACGGGTATGAGCGAAGGACTCGTTCCCGGTACATGTTAGACTCCGTCAGGGTTGCTTTCTCCTCATTTTCCTGTTTCTCGTGTACAGGGATAAGATCTTGGGCCTTGCAAGGGCGTCAGCATCTGTGGTGTCGAATTAAAGATACTTGTTATTGCCGATGATGCCGTCCTTTTCGGTCTCGATAGGAACTCCAGATAGTGCTAAATCGGTTCAACGCCGAATGTACTGTGGTCGGAATGAATGAAATCGTCCCCAAAACGTGGGTTGTGGACCTCTCGAGAAGTCCTGTACAGTGTGCCTTTCATGAAGGGGGGGGGCACTGGAACATGTGGAGAAGTTCAAGTACCTTGGTGTCCGTTTCTCAAGTGACGGGCGATACGGAAACGAGATCGACAGCCGCATCTACAGGACCTCCGCTGCTCTGGAGGACTGTGGTTGCCAAAATTGACATTCCCAAGAATGCGAAACTTTTCTGTTTTTAACCCAGACACGCCTGGCTTTCCACATGTAGGGCGGAAGTGCAGAGATGCGCCTCCATATAGAACGTGCGTCCTCAATATAGACCGTCAGGCCTATCTGGGTTAAGAGTGTTTACCTCCCCACCCTTACCTATAGTCACGAACTGTGGGTAATGACCGAAAGAATCAATCAAGTCACGGATACAAGATCCTCCAGATTAATCAATTCCGGGTTCGGATCAAGAGATCCCAAACCATATCTCCCGCATGCCTCCCGGGGGACTTCCAAAGATAAATCTTCGAATCTAAAATGACTGGCAAATGACCAGTCGGTAGAGCTCTTGCAAGGTGGGCGAAGTACATCGCGAATCTTTGCCACGAGGGGCTTGGTATACCACTTACCGAGTTTGAGTTCGTTGCCCAGGATCGCAAAAAAAAACTGGAAGTTAAGAAACCCCATTAAGTTGGGATAAACTGCTTTCGAAAATGTATGTATGTACGTAATTTAGAACGAAAAGGAATCTTTCAAATTTCAAATCAAAAGCTATTCTATTTTTCTTGTAATTCTTCTGCAGTAGCCAGAAAGTAAAGTATCGATAAAGCTATTAATTTTTTAATTTTATGCTTTTGGAAGAACAGTAGGCTGAACAGGTACAATAATGGAAAGAGGATGGGACACGTGCAGTACTTCAATCGTTCAGATGCAATGACTGGTTTCACAGTGTTCAATAAAAATTTTGCCCTGCATCCAAAGGAAAGAATGAATCAAATCTTC